CCCCGTGGCAGACTACTTCCCTGGAGTGCAGCTGCCTCCACACCTCTCGCCCTTCGTGTCAGAGAAGGAAGGAGATTACATCCCTCCTGAGAAGCTGAAGCTGCTGGCCCTGCAGCGGGGAGAGCACCCAGGTGAGTGGGCCAGGTGATGGGATGGATGGGTTCCTCTGGGCTGGCTTTAGACTCCTTGGCCTCACCTTGTTTCCCCCCTTGGCTTCAAAGGTGGCAAGCTCTTGAGAATGGGACGGCAGGGGTACAGAGCCCTTTAAACCAACCTTTGGATTAAGGCTTAGGAGAAAGGAACATTAGTGTCCTACAGTCAGCTATTACTTGATGTTCAGAGTAACCAAGCAGTAGTGTTGTGGAGGCTGTCATTGGTATTTTTATAGGAGGTGGCAGAGGTCAGGAAGGGGGGTCCTGGAGTGCCCTCTGGAGACAGTTGGGGCTGTGGGGAGACGTGCCAGAGGGAATCACAACTGGGACATCCCTGCACTGTCTTTGGAATGTCTTCATGGCTGAAGAGTATGGTGACTGGCCCCAGCTCCCACCCTGCGAGGAGGAGAGCAGGCTCCCATGGCATTCAGAAGTCACTGGCTGTTTATAGGAAATACAGACGAATCTGAAGAGGAAGATGAGGAAGATGATGATGGTGATGAAGGGGGAGAAAATGAAGAGGAGGAGGAAGAAGATGCAGAGGCTGGTTCAGAAAAGGAAGAAGAGGCCCACCTGACATCCCTAGAAGAGCAGAGGATGGAGGAGAAGGTACTGGGAAGCTGACTTGGGGTGTAGCCTGGGAAGCAGCCCCACTGGCCATCTCTGGGGCCAGCCCCTGCCCAGAGGGCAAGAGCCAGGGGACTGGTGGGGGTGGGGGTTGGGGGGGGACCTGCATCCACAAGTGTCCTCCCGGTGTCTGCAGAAGCCCCGAGTGATGGCAGGCACCGTGAAGCTGCAGGACAAGCAGCGGCTAGCCCAGGAGGAGGAGAATGAAGCCAAGCGCCTGGCCATCATGATGATGAAGAAGCGGGAGAAGTACCTTTATAACAAGATCATGTTTGGCAAGAGGCGCAAAATCCGAGAGGTGAGCCCCTGCCACCTGCCTGAGACTCCAGGTGTGGCCACCAGATGTGGCTGCACAGGTGAACTTTGGAACCAGCTGACTCTCCCCTGTGCAGACTCCAGGCCATTTCTTTCTCCCCACCCCCCCCCCACCCCCCTCCAGGCCATTTCTTAGCCTTTCTCTTAGGTTGCCCGTCTGGCCCGACCCCTGAGGGTCTGCATGGGCATATTGGTGTCAGCAGTTTGTGCCTGGGCTTTCTTCAGGGCTTCAGTCTCCTTACGTTTAGCTCTTTCTTTTCTTTGTTTTAAAAATATTTTATTTATTTCTTTGAGGGAGAAAGCGAGTATGAGTCGGGGGGGCGGTGAGGCAGAGGAAGGGGGAGAAGCAGGCTCCCCCTGAGCAGGGAGCCCCACCCAGGACTCAATCCCAGGACCCCGAGATCATGACCTTAGCCAAAGGTAGACGCTTGACTGGCTGAGCCACCCAGGCACCTCTGTCCAGCTGAGTTTACTGAAATCTGGGGACAAAGCTGTCCTAGCAGACTCAGTGCCCGCTTTCACAAATGACCACTTAATAGATGTGTATAAAGCAGGAGGGACTATGGGAGGTTTGGGTTAGATTTCCATTTTGTTTCTCTCGTTTACAAAGTCATAGATGCTCATTGTAAAAAAAAAAAAAATTCAAGTTCTCTGCACGCCACAATTCTGTAATCGATGATGTAGAAGTGGCTCACAGTCCTGCCTTTGGGGTGATCTGTAATTACAGCACTCCAGTTTCTCTTGTGTGTATAATACATTATTTTGGAGCCATTGTGCCACATACAGGTTGTTTGGGAGTGTGTTTTTCATTTAACCATAGGGTGAATTTCTTGCTATGAGCTCATACAAGTGACTTGTTTTCTGCTAATAAGATCAGATTGCTTTTCATTTTGAGTCATTCTTAGAAAACACCCTTGAGCACATCACATCTTTGCCTGCCTCTGAAGTCTCTACAAGGTAAATTTGCAGGCTTGTAATTGCCAGGTTGAAAGGCCTGTGAATGTTTTGTAGTAGATAGTGCCAGATGGGCCCCAGGGGAAAGACTGCTGTTCCAGGTTGACCCCTCCCCAGCAGCCTGGTGAAAGTTTGATTGGCATGCAGCTTTCCCAAGGAGGAAGGTAAATGGAGCGTTTACCTCCAGCTCTGGGAGCCTGGGATTCTCCTAATTCGTTGTGAGCCCATAAAATAATAGAGACTTAAAAGCAAAGGTAAAGACCTGTTTTATTGCCTGAGGTTATTCAAGTGTTGTTTATCCTCCTGGTAAACTGCCTATTTAACTTTTCTGAAAGTTCTGCCTTTAAAAAGGGATGGCCTAGGGGCACTTGGGTGGCTCAGATCGTGATTCGAGTTCCTGGGATCCGAGTTCCTGGGATAGAGTTCCCCCTGCATCTGGCTCCCCGTAGGGAACCTGCTTCTCCCTCTGCCTATGTCTCTGCCTCTCTCTGTGTGTCTCTCATGAATAAATAAAACCTTTAAAATAAATAAATAAATACAAAGGGATGGCTTTGAGGAGGAGGAGGAGAAGTACCCTGCAATCACAGCTTGATCCCCCCTTCATCCTCACAGGCCAACAAACTGGCAGAGAAGCGGAAAGCCCATGATGAGGCTGTGAGATCTCAGAAGAAGGCCAAGAAGATCAGGCCAGTGTGAATGGTGGCAGCCTTTTGATGAGTGAGGCCCGTCGCCCTGCTCCTGGCAGCTGGACTTGGCACAGGCAGGCCAGAGGACCCAGGCTTGGTGGCAGGACCAGAGCCTCTTCTGTTTTCATCCCCTTCCTCCCCCTGCTGGCGCTGGCTTCCTCTTACGCTCTCTGGCTGGAACCCCAGCCGCCGTTGGATGGAGCTCCCTGTTGGTGACTGGGCAGAGGAGAGGCCTCTGATGTTCCCAGGAGTCAGTGACATGGGAGGTAGGGGCCTGAGCAGCCCCTCACCAGCTGCTCCTGTTCCTCCTGGCTTTCTGCAGCAGCCCCCTCATGCCATGGTTGGACCTGTAATTCTGCTGCTGTGATGGGGTGTGGGTGGGGAAGCATTTGTTATTAAACTGCTGGAGTTTTGGAACCAGTTGAATTCTATGTTCACAAGACTTCATGGGGTTGGAGAAGGGCCACCCAGTGAAGTGGAGTCTGCCCTTGGTTCACATTCCAGCCCAGGTATTTTTCCTCTGTGAACATTGCTTCCTCCTGTGTAAGTGAGAGGTAGAAATTCTGGAGTCTAGGGGTTGGAGGAGGGTGGTGGGTGCAGAGGGTTCAGTGACAATGTTATGCAGGCTCAATTGAGTCAGGTAAGTAGGGTGCTCTGTAAATAGCAACTATGATCATCATAACTTGCTGCTGGAGTGAGCCCAGAATATGGAAGCCAGTGCCTGAAGAACCTGTAGGGGCTGGAGTTGAGGGTACCTAGCTTTACCTTGTAGGCTTGTGGGCCAAACCACGTAGTAACCCCCAGTATGGGCATTGTCAGCAGCCTGACTTGTGACCTTTGCTGGGCCATCCTTACAGCTTCCTACTTAACCCTGACAGTGCCCTTGCCAAGGCCTGGAGAGACATGCCTCTGCCCAGACTGCCAATGCCTCACAGCAGAGCCAGGGCCAGAAACCAGGGTGCAGGGTGGTCACTCAGCTCCCCAGATCAGACAGGGATTTCTGAATAGCTCCACAGGGGGCCAAGGGCTGTCAGGAACAGCGCCCGGGTGGCAGAGTGTGGGTTTGGAACTGGGCTCCATGTATCCCCAATCTAGGCACCTGGGGGCCTTGGCTCTCTGCCCCTCATTGTGCTTAGCCCCTGTAGAAGTTTTTCAGGCTGTGGCTGCAGGCCCACCCTTGGGGAGTGAGGGGCCAGAGAACCCAGGACGGCTGTCTTGGCCGGGCCTTGCTGTGGAGAGAGCTACATTAAGCTCTGGCATTTCTTGAGGTTGGGGTAGAAGTGCTTCCAGAGGCAGGAATGGGATCGGGGTCGCCCGAGGGGATGGCTTGGGCTTTCCTGGGTGCTCGGGCCTCCTGGGGCTGTGGCAAGGGTGCTGGGGTAAGACAGGAGGGTGAGCCTATTGGATTTGGAAAATCCCTGGCAATCATGCTGGTGTGGAATTTTCCCCGTTCTAGAGTTGCCCAGCAATGGCGGGGGCCGCAGGGCTCTGATGCAGCCCAAGCTCTGCTGAGTGCCCAGCAGATTTCAAGGTGCCCACAGGTGGAGCTGCACATTCCCAAACCAGGGCGGCATTTGTGCCAGTCTTTGGTCCTCCCCTGGGGTGAGGAAGGGAGCTGGGGTCTGAAGAGAGGCGGGCCTCGGTGGGGCACCTGCATTCTGCAGTTGTAAGGACACTCCGGAGAGATGGGATCAGCCGAGACCACCTAGTGCCATGACTGGTTGGAGATGGGTCCCTTGCCTGAGCTTCCCTCAAGGGACTCTGGCACCCCCCTTCATCCCCCACACCCACATTTGGACCTTGAAATGTACGTCTCCAGCTTGTACTGACCCGGGAGCAGGAGGCCATACTGGATATTCAGGGCCCCAGAGCCCCCAGTGAAAGTTCAACAACTCGTCCTAGCCACCTCCCTTTGCCCAGAGCTGGGCTGCCCTCATCACCACCACCACGCCACCCCGTTTCCCAGGCACCCTCGAATCCCCTTCCGGGGCTGGGAGCTCAGCCGAGCCTCAGGGTCCAGCGGTGGGACAATGGCCCCGTTGGCGCTTCCAAGACAAACGCGCCTTGTTGAGCCGGCGGCGGGGGCGCGGCGCTGCGCTCCGGGACGCTGAATGCGGCTTCTGTGCGCCCCGGGCGGGCGCGGAGGGGCCGGGAGGAGGCCGGGGCCAGGGCGCCTATTGGCCGCAGCACCGGGGGACGGGCCCGGCCGGCGGCCGCACCTGGCCAGAGGGACTGTGGCGCGGCGGCGGCGGCGGCGGCGGCGGCGGCGGCGGGAGCATGGTCCAGGCCCGGTGGAGCCGGGGGCCCGGGCGGGCTCGCCCCGCCGCCTAGTGAGCGCCCGGGCGGCGCGGCCCGGGACCGAAACAGCCACGCCAAGCCCGAGGACAACGGGGCCAAGGTATGTCCTGGGGGCCGGCACCCACTGCCTGCTCGTGCCCTGCCTGGCGCTGCGGCCCGCACTGCCCAAACCTCCGACCTAGGACCGCACGAGTCAGACTCCGAGCCCAGCGGTTTGGGAGTGCCCCGCAATTGCTCCAGGGCCTGAGGGCCCCTGGCAGCTGACGGAGGGCGGGGAGGGTGGGCCGCTGGGGGCAGGGAGGGGGGCGTTGGTGTGTGCCTTGCCCTTGGTTTCTTCCTCACAGCCCCCTCTCCAGGGTTTTCCCAGTCCTCGGACATGGAGTGGGTGGGGCTGGAGCTGGGCTAGACCTGGAAGTCCATTAATGATTAATCTTGGACACAGAAGCCTGAGCCCTGTGGGAGGAAGGGCAGGGATCTCCTAGAAGGGGAGTGGGTGGCCTTGGACCAGGGGCTGGGGGCCCGGGGGAGGGATGGATTCCCTCTGCTTGGAGAAGGCCCTGTCCTATACCACACGGGGGCAGGGCCACCAAGGAGAGAGATCTGGGAAGGGCCCTTAGGAAATCTAGCCAGTTGAGTTTCCAGGATGGGTGCCCAGGAGGGGGTCCAGCTTGGTCTGCATCCTCAGTATCACAGCACAGAGCAAGACTGTGGCCTATTGCCAATGGTGCCCCTCTTTCCACCTGCCTCTAGAGCGGGAGAGGTGATGATCACACATCTGGCTGCAGTAACCCACACCAGTGAGCGGGAGGGAGGGAGGGAGGAAGAGAGAGCCACAGGCCTGACACCTGATCACCTGGGTTGCCAAGGTGACAGGTGTCATGAAAATCCTCAGGAAGACAGTCCAGTTGGGAGAATCCAACCTCTTCCTTTGCCAAAGGGGTGACCTGAGGCCCAGAGAGGGTAAGGCCATGGGCAGGCCTGGGCCAGAGCAGCCTCTATTAGCGCTGCTCTGTATGTTGTCCTGTAAAGGAGGGCATTCCCATTATTCTTAGGGGGAAACCGAGGACCAGGTCAATTCAGTGACTTGCCCAAGGTCACACATAATTCAAAGGTGGCTGAGTTGACTACAGATGCAGATCCCAGCCCTGCATCTCAGGATGGGAGCTCTGCTCAAGACCTCTCTGCTGCTCTGGGGTCCTAAGCTCTTGGATCTGCTTGTGCTGCCCCAAACCCCTTGCTCAGGACCCCTCCCCCACTTGCCTTCCTAGCTCCCAGCTCTGCCTGACACTCAGGGTGGGCAGGCTGCTACCCTGGGAGCAGAGACAACAGAGCCCTGTTCCCAGCTGCTACCTCGGGCTGCTTCATTCAGAGCTTCTCACTTGGGCAGAGCCCTGCCTGAAGGAAGCTCCCTGTGGACAAAGAAGCCTGCCTGCTTCCTGCATGGTCTGTTGAGAGCATGGGTTTGATGCCATCTTGTCACCCAGGAAGAAAGGAGTGTGTCCTTGGCAGTCCCCACTTTGGGCTCCAAGGGACTCAGGGTGTCACCCGGTGAGAGGCAATGATTAACCTAGGAGAATGAGGCACAGATGGTGGAATTCCAGGCATGGCAGCCGGCTTGTGAAGGGCTTCTTGCTTCATTTTGACTGGGTGAGGAATATGGTGAAGAACAACGCCCTTTATGAGCCCTATTCTACTCTAGATAGAAAGGGCAGGAGTGAGCAGAGGTGCCCATGGAGATCAGTGGGCTGGGGGCTGGAGGAATTACCAGGTGAGGGGTGATGGTTGGGAAGAACTGGGGTCCCAGAGGAAACCTTTCCCACCTGCCAGTTCCAGGTGGCATGGGCATTCCTAGACCTGATCCAGCAGTGCCCTGACTTGCCATGGGACCTTAGGCAAGTCCTTGCCTATCTGTGCCACAGTTTCCCTCGATGTGAAATCTGGGTGTTAGGGAACTTGGGTCTGGAGCATGGGAAATGTGAGGGTTTGGATCAGGAGGGTTGCCTTCCAGGAGTCTGCACTGGTGGGTCCTGTTTCTCCTGCCAAGTGGGTCTAGAAGGGTCATGATAACAATCTGAGGTATGAGCAAAGGGCTCTGCATGCCTCTGATCCTCACAGCAAGCCCATGAGAGGGGCAAAATATTCCCATTTTTCAGAAGCTGAGGCTCAGAGAAGGGAAGTCACTTGCCCAAGATCACTCAACTGGGGACTTGTAGAGTCAGAATTCATAGCCAGAGCATCTCAGCCTCTCCTAGAGGGGAGAGGCAGGTGGGCAGATCCAGGGCATTGTACATAGTAAGGGCTCAGCACCTTTAAAAACCTTTATATTGTTACCTATTTTCATGCAAACAAGTGCATGATGTTCCTTTAAAAAACATTTCAGTCATGTTAGAAGGTACAGCGAATGATATTACCAATTCCTACTTACTACCTCTGGTGTTCTCAGTAATTTGAAGCTAATAAAGAAATGACTGACTTCTTGGTTAACCTCGGTTATTGCCCCTCTCAAGCTACTTTGGGGAACTGAGCCCTGGAGGTGATTTTGCCCAGACAAGGTGGTGTAGCGGGAAGAGATTGCTTGTAGCTCTGACTTTGCTAGTTAGACCCTCTCTGCTAGTTTCTGAGCTTCAGTGTTCCCATCTGTCTGTGAGCTAGCAGATGACACTGGGAAGTCGGTTGAGGCCCTAGGTATGGCTGCTATTTGAAAGGGTAGAGTTGGGTAAGCCTGCAAGATCAAAAAGTGCCTTCTGAATCACCAAAGAACACTGCCCTCTTCTCAGTCTGCTGCCAGACCTGGGACCCAGCTGGCAGCCATTCCCCCAGCCTGAGGAGGCAGTAGGAGCAAGGTGTCGGGGCTGACAGTTTAGGGGTGGTCCTGTGAGCCAGCAAGTTGGGATTCATCTGAAGGGCCTCCCTGGGTGATCCTCCCTATCTCTACTCCAGCATCTCACTCCAGAGAGGGCAGAGTGAGGAGGCTTCTGGGACTTGCAGGTCTCTGTCCCAACCCTCCTGGATGGAGGGCCAACCTTTCCCATCCGTTCCTTTAACTGTGTGGCCCACGCTTCCCAGCTTCTCTGCTCCAGGCCCCTGATGCCTCTTCCCCACTGAAGACGCTGAGGCTCAGATAGGGCTATGGTCACCCAGCAGGGTGGGACATGGTTCAGACTAGCCACGTCTCTCCTCCAGCAAGACTGCAGTTTTTCAAAAATGGAAATATCTTTATTTTTCATTTTAATTTTTTTCCCTAAGTAATACAGACTCTTTGTAAAACAAAATCATATGTATGTGTATGTATACACATTTTTTCACTACATTATGTATTGTGGACATCATTTAAATGAGTATATAATAAACCATGGAGTGAATGTCATATAATATTTTTAACCATCTCCTATTGTTGGACATTTAAGTTGTTTCTCTTTCCCCTTTTGCACCCATCTCCTGTTAGATTGTCTTCTGTGAACAAATTGCCACAGATGGGATTTCTGGGTCTGAGGATGGGCACCTGTAGAACTGTAACAGTTGCTGTCAGTTGTGCAGTCTGAGCACTGTAGGCAGAGTCTTTTTGCTCCAGCTTTAAAGTCTCCTCCAGGGGTGCCTGGGTGAGTCAGTCAGTTGAGTGTCTGCCTTCGACTCAGGTCATGATCCCGGGGTCCTGGGACTAAGCCCTGCATCAGTCTATAGTAGTCTGTTTCTCCCTTCCCACCACTTGTGCTCTCTCTTACTCTCTCTGTCTTTCAAATTAATACATAAAGTATTTTTTAAAAGTCTTCTCCAGGGGCAGCCCAGGTGGCTCAGTGGTTTAGCACTGCCTTCAGCCCAGGGTGTGATCCTGGAGACCCCGGATCAAGTCCCGCTTCCGGCTTACTGCATGGAGCCTGTTTCTCCCTCTGCCTGTGTCTCTGCCTCTCTCTCTGTGTCTCTCATGAATAAATAAATAAAATCTTAAAAAAAAAAGTCTCCTCCAGTGTCCCCATGAGATTCCCTTCCAGCTATAAAAAACAGCCCTAGGACACTCTCACCCCTTCACTCTGCCAGAATCCTGTTCCTATGTGTGCACACTGAGTAAACAGCATGGATGCCCGTCAGTTGGGGAATGGTTCATGGGGAGTGGTGTTCCAGAGAATGTTCTACAGCCAATGGTTTTATTTATTTATTTATTTATTTGTCTATTTATCTATTTATTTATTTATTTATTTTTAAAAGATTTTTTATTTACTTATTCATGAAAGGCGCACACACACACACACACACACACACACACACAGAGGCAGAGATACAGGCAGAGGGAGAAGCAGGCTCCATGCAAGAGCTTGACGTGGGACTCGGACTCAGACTCGATCCGGGTCTCTAGGACCACGCCCCGGGCTGAAGGCAGTGCCAAATCACTGAGCCATCGGGGCTGCCCAGCCAATGGCTTTAGAGGCCTTTTATCTTTATCTCCTTGGGGGATCCTCACCCTCCCTGCTCTCTTCTCCTTCCTTCCCCTTTCTCTCCTGATTCCATCTGCTTCTCTGACCTCACTTTCTACTTCTGTGCCCATGGCTCCCAATCTCTTTCTCCTAAGATCTCCCTCTTGTGCTCCAGGTAAGGAATCATATTGCTCTTTGCATATTCTACAAGCGTCCCACACATCCCCCAGACTCAACTTGTCCTAAATTGAAACTGACATTGGCTACCCACCCCCAACTAAACATATCTTTCTCTTAGCCTCCCCCACTCAGAGACTAGCTACAGTCCCAGCCAGCCAGTCATCCCAACAGGGCTTCTTCCCACCGCTCCACACCCTCACCTCACTCACCAAATGTCTCTGTCTATGAACTGGAACAGGATGGTTCCAGTTCATTCCCAGCCTTCTTGGTCCAGGTCATTTCATACCTGGACAGCTATAACAACCACTGTCAAGGGTGCTGGCTTCTCCCAGTCATTCCCAGCCCTACAGTTCAATTTTCCATCCAGCAGCCTGATGGGAATCCCATTTCCTCACTTCTCTGCTGAAGACCTTCCAGGGTTCCCCATTGCCCACAGGATCCAGAGCAGATCCCTTAGCATGCTTCCCAGGACCCTTCCATCTCCTGCCTGCCCCTGCCCCCTTTCTGGCTGTGCCTCTAGTCTCCTCTGCACACTCAACCTCTGACATACACACATACTGGAAACTCCAGCCAAGCTGAACATTTGTTAGTTTCTCAATTGCCCTGGGTCTTTGCACATGTTTTTTTCTCTGCCTGGCTCATTCCAGGGTAACAAGTGCATTAGTTAACGCTAGTTGCTGTAACAGAGAAGACCCAATTCCAAAGGGCTTAACACAATGGCAGTTTAGTTGTCATTTTCATGAAATTTAACTGGGTGTTTGGTGAGTGGTGATGCGAATACCAGCCTCAGGGCACTGCCCATCTCCAGATAGTTAGAAATGGCCCCATTCATCCAGCATACTTGAAAGGAGACCACAGAAAAGGTCTGCACACCTAACATCAATAGCTATTATTCTGCTCACATTCCACTGGTCAGAGTCCAGTCACATGAGGACACTGAACCACAGGGGAGGATGGGAAATGTAGTTTAGCCATGTACTCAGGGAGAAAAGAGAACTGCTTTTGGAAATCAGAAAACACACAGCACCTTTGCTACCAGGGACCCCTAAGCCCAGGAAGCCTCTCTGAGCACACTCTTCCTGACCCCCAGGCTGGATCAGGTGTTAATGTTCCAGCAAGTCCCACCAACGTGCCATCACCGCACCTGCAGCGGCTTGGTCCTCCCACCCCCAGGACTGTGAGCCCAGAACTCTGGCTCAGGAATCATGAACCCTAGTCCTGGGCACAGTGCAGATGCTCCCTAAATAACTGTGGAACAGATCAATTTAAAACTCATTGTGGTCACAAAAAGATGGCCACAATCTATTGATGTGGGAGGGGTGGGGAGCAAGTTAAAAACAAAATGTGTTACCCCAAAGAGACCCCTTCTATCCCCTGTATGGGTATAGACAGAAAAAAAAACGTGGGGAGGCTTGTGCTGAAGTTTTAAGGGTGATGAGCTCTGGGGATGGAGCTCTTTTCATTTTTTTTTATACACTTTTCTGTAATTGTCTGAGTTTTTTTTTTTTACAGTTATCATGTACTGCTTTTATAATTAATTTTTTTTCTGGGGTGGAAGAACAGCCAGAGATGACATCACTATTGATATCCTGAGAAGAGAACCCTCTGGCAGGGCTAGGAGCATAGGTTCTGCTATCAATGCTTCCTACTCTAGAAAATTTTGCTTCACGTGGATCTTGTTTACCTGCCTTCCCACCCCATGCACGACCTTGCCTTTTGTTCAAGAGTCTGAATTCTATTCTCTCTTGCCCAAGATCCTTAACCTCTTGTGACACTGGGCTTGTCACGTTGCATCCTTGAGCCTTTGCTTCCTCTATGAAGTAGGGTGGTCACTGTGCCTCCAGTGGCAAGGATTATGAGCCTATGTGATGCATGGCACATAATGAGCATGTGGCCAGACCCTGTTTGGTCAAAAGTCCACACTGATAAACCACCTCTCTGCAGTTTGATATTCGCTCTGCCTGGACCCACCCCCATACATTTATCTGTTTTCAAACTTGCTCAGTCCAGAACAGATAAAACAACTCTATTCAGTGTCCCAGGTCAATCCAGTACCCAGAGAGATATAGACTCTTGGTGTTCCCTGTGGCTATTTAAACTCTGGTATTTCATGGGGCATTGTGGGCTGCTCCCAGGCTGGGTAGGGCCATGGAGGAAAGAGCAAAGTGTCAAGGAGTGTCAGATGCCTGCTGCTTCCTGGGAGGAGCTGGCAGCTGCTCAACCTATGAAAGTGCTCAGTGTGGGATAAATACAGGACTGTCACAATAATGATTTCTATTAACCATTGGTGACACTTTAGTTCCCTAGAGCCCCTGTGCCCGAGGGAAGGAGGTGAGGGTGCTTTTCTGGGCATCCTTTGTTCATGGCAAAGCCGAACCCAGACCCAAAGATAGGCTTAAACCCAGCTAAGAGGGAGGGTGCAAGAGATTTCAGTGCTTGAAGTGAGCCTCAGGGCTTTTGGGATTTAGGACAGGGCCCCTAGGACTACTTCTTCTTGCCAAGACCTTGGGAAGAATTGGCACCTGCAGTGGGCCCGCATCCTTCAAAGCTGGTCCCCAGTGTCCCATGCACCAATCCGTCACACAGGATGCAGGTAGGATAGGCATGATCTGTGCTGCCTCTGATGAAGGGCTTGGAGCTGAGGAAGGTGAAGTCTCACCAGACTGATTCTCCCAGAACGGGTCAGGTTCTCTGTTCCAGGAGGACTTGGTGAGTTGCTTGCTCTCAGGGCTCCGCAGGTTTAAGACAAACCTTGGTCTCGTTATGTGTCAGTGTCATTAAGCGCTGGGATTTGGCAAGTCTGCATTGGATTTCTGCCTGGCTCTGACTGTCCCCTGCCAACTGTGTGACCTTGGACAAGTGGGTTCACCTCTCTGAGCCTTGGTTTCTTCACCTGGAGAGTGGGCTAATCATGGTGCTTAATGCCTGGGGAGCCATGGGACGTAGATGAGGGGCAGTTCAAGGAGTCATGAGCCTCCCTGCTCCCCTCACCTCCCCATCATTCCCATGGCCTTTGAGCCTCTCCTGGACTCTGCAGGGCTCTGCAGCTGCTTGTGTCCTTGGTGCAAGGACACCCAGAACCTTGCTGAGTCCTTGGATGAAGGAGCTGCCTGGCTGCTGAGGTCTAGAGATACTCAGGGACCACCCAGAGGGTGCCCCTGGCGGAGGGCCAGGGCAGCACCTGCAAGGTACAGACACATGCCACCTGCTATCCCCAGGGAGGGAACTCATGAATATTCACACCCGCTGGAGCATGAGGGAGCCAGCCAGAATACTGCTGGGTGTCATTGGAGCGTTCTTGTTTCCCAGTGACCACAGAGGCAGCCTGAGAATCAGACGGGGCTCAGACAGGGAGAGGAAGGGGGCTGCCAGCCACGGCCCAAGGTGAGTGTGTCTTTCTCCGCCCCTGCCCAGGGGCCCCTGGGGGAGCAGGACACCTGGGACCCAGGCCTGCCTGGTAGTGATGCTGCAGGACGGAAGGTTTACCATCCTGGGCTCGGTTTCCCTACGTGCATGCTGTGGGGATGAGTCCTATTTCTCCTTCATTCTCTAGAGGGTGCTGGTCCAACCGAATGGGAGGATTGCTGGGCCTGGCCTGGAGCCAGCTGTCAGCACAGATGGAGCATGATGTAGCTATGATATCCAAGAAGGATAAGAATAGATGGGGTAGGCTAGGGAGGCTGGACCATCGGCCCTGAGTGCCTGGAACTGTCACCACCATAGGTAGAGGAGGAAAGACCCCGGTTCTAGTTCTGCCTGCTGCTGGTATGCTGACCTTGAGGGTGGCCCTGCCCTCTCTGAGCCTTAGCCTCCCTGCTGCGCTGTCTTCCAGACTGGAGGCTGTGAGGGTCAGGCCACACTGAAACTGTCCTTGGTACCCCATGGCCTTGGACCTGGTGCTGTCAGCTGACTGCAAGCCTCCATCATGGGCCAGTGGACACACACCTAGAAGGGCCCATGACCCTAGGAGGGCAGTCATGATGATAATAATAATGTTGGCAGCCCATGTCCCGGGAGTGTCCGCTCTGTACCAGCCGTGTACTGGATACTTTCCTTGTGAGACGGAGAAAATCTGTACAGCACCCTGTGATGGAGGGAGAGGGAGTTGGCATCAACGTTTTGGAGGAGAAACTGAGATCCAGAGAATGACACAGCCTTGCCTAGGGCACACAGAAAGGAAGCAGCAGAACTGGGTTTCAAACCCAGGTTCCTGGCTCCAAGGTGCTGGCTCCAGATGGCTCTCAGATGTGTGACTCACACACGGGGCTCTCACAGTTATGTTAGCCCGGTCACATTCTGCCCTGAGGGTCATGGGGGTTATTCATCAACCATTTATCTGGTGCCAGGCTCCAAAAGCTCAGGGATGAGTTATCTTCAGGCTTGCCTGAAGCTGGGCATGGAGGGAATCTCTCCTCCCACAAGCCTGGGCCTGGGAAACTGGGCCCTGCTCAATGGTGATGATAATAATAATTAATATGTATTGATCTCTGCCTGTGTACATCCGTTCTCTCATTCAAATCTCAGTCTCATGACTATTCCTTTCAGCTAGGCTCCCGGCTGCCAGCCAGCCCATCTCTGGACCTCGGTCTACCCAGGGACTCTGCCTGTGATCACCAAGGGCCCTGTTTGCCCCGATCTTGATGTTGTGTGTTCTTTGTACACATAAGCAGGCTAAGACTGAGAGGCTGAGCAGCATGTTCAAGTTCACAGAGGCCAGGCAGGAAGGGAACCACCAGCCCCAAATGCCTCGGGACACCTAGGTCCCCTGTGTTTCTCTGTTATTCATCCTGGCTGCCTGCTGTACTACTGGGACAGAGTCCCATTAGCCACTCGTTGACTCCTGTGATGGATCTTTTGATGGCACACACACTTCCCACGGGCTTAGGACAGGGCCTGGGACATGTCAGGGAGGGGCTGCCATGGACAAAGCTGGAAGCTGCCTATTGGAGGCCAACAGATTTCGGCTTGAATCCCAGCCCTACCTCCTGCCTTGCTGAATGACCCTGGGCAAGTCACATCCCCTCCTGGAAACTCATTTTTCCTGTCTGCAAATTAGGGGAGACAGTGGGGTCAGCCTGCTAGGATACCTGAGCAGAAACAGTGAGATGCTCTAGAGAAACCCCTGCCCAAGGCCTGGCTCATAGCAGGGGCTCAAAAGTGAAACCTGAGGGCAGCCCGGGTGGCTCAGCGGTTTAGCGCCACCTTTGGCTCAGGGCGTGATCCTGGAGTCCTGGGATCGAGTTCCGCATCAGGCTCCCTGCGTGGAGCCTGCTTCTCCTCTGCCTGTGTCTCTGCCTCTCTCTCTCTCTGTCTGTCTCTCACGAATAAATAAAATCTAATATATATATATATATATATATATATATATATATATATATATATATATATATATTGAAACCTGAGGGCAGGCATGGTTTCAGGAAGCCCAAGTGGAGAGGGAAAAAAATGAATGAGCAAAACCCTGATGGAGGGATGGGGGCGCTGTCCCAGGCCCAGCTAGGTGGAGCCTGAGTGGTGGTTCTGGGAAGCTGGTCTGCCCCCTGCTGCTGGGTCTCTACCTAGAACCTCTGCCATCAGCTTCCTAGATTTCCGGAAAGTGCCCTGGTGAGTGAGGCTACTGGAGCAGGAGGGGGCCCTGGGGATTTGGGGAGGGCCTGGATTTTACCCCTTCCCTGTTTTAAAGTCAGAGAATCTGAGGTCTCGGGCCCCACTCAGGGTTTGGGTCCAAGTTTGAGCCTCTGGCCTGGCCCAGGGCGCTGCCCTGTTTTTCACTGGGCCCCCAGGGGGCAGGAGCCCAGTTGGGGCACTGGATGTGTGGAGCTGGTTTGTGCTGGGGAAGGGGCAGTAGCCACTCCTAGTTCAGGGGAGCCCACCCTGAGGGTGACAAAGACTGAGGCCAGGAGCAGGTCCTAGGAGCTGAGGAGAGAAACAGCTAACGCTCTTTTGAGAGATAATTATGTGCTCATTGCTTTGCCTACTCCATCTCTGAAAGAGCCAGTGAGGGGGCGGATTTCAGCTTCCCTATTTTACAGATGAGAAACTGGGGCCTCCAGACCCTGGGGTCAGCACTTCCCCCTCCATGACCAGACTGGCTAGCCACCTTACCCTACCTTGCATTCTTTATGACCTATCGTGTAAATATATTAAATAGGGCAGCCCGGGTGGCTCAGCGGTTTAGCGCTGCCTTCAGCCCAGGGCGTGATCCTGGAGACCCGGATTCCAGTCCCACGTCGGGCTCCCTGCATGGAGCCTGCTTCTCCCTCTGCCTGTGTCTCTGCCTCTCTCTCTGTGTCTCTCATGAATAAACAAATAGAATCTTTAAAAATATATATATTAAATATTTTATTGCCTTTTTTAATTAAAAAATACATACTCTGGTAAACTGAACACCAATAAAAATTAATTTATTAAAAAAAACATACTCCCTTTTTATTTTTTTAAAGATTGTATTAATTTATTCATGAGAGACACAGAGAGAAAGAGAGAGGCAGAGACATAGGAGAAGCAGGCTCCATGCAGGGAGCCTGACGTGGGACTCAATCCCAGGACTCCAGGATCACACCCTGGGCCAAAGGCAGGTGCTAAACTGCTGAGCCACCCAGAGATCCCCACGTACTCCTTTTTAAAAAGCAGCTGTTACAGAACATAATGTAGAAAAATATTCCCTTATATACCCCTTTCCTAGCTATGCAGAGGATCACTACTGCTAAAATTTAGAATACTGTCTTCCAGTTGTTTCTGGGCCTACATGTATACATATATGGATCTGGGGAAGTTCCTTAGTATTCTGGAACTTTCTTCTTCTTCTTCTCTTCTTCTTCTTCTTGTAAGATTTATTCATGAGAGACACACAGAGAGAGGCAGAGACATAGGCTAAGGGAGAAGCAGGCTCCCTATAGGGAGCCCGATGTGGAACTTGATCCTAGGACCCCAGGATCACAACCTGAGCCAAAGGCAGACGCTCAATCACTGAGCCACCCAGGTGCCCCTGGAACTTTCTTTTTTCATATTAATAGATCATGATGTGTTTTTGAACCAATCCCCTTAGCTCTGTCTTGTTAATGGGTACAGAGGACTCCATCTGGGAATAGGCCTTGGTTTGTGTAACAGCCTCTCACTGATGGAAACTGAGATCTTTTCTAATTTTTTAAATTTCTGACCAAGCTGCCATGAACACCATTACATGAGTGACTGTACCCAAGTGTTTCTGTAGAATAGTTGGAATTTGGAGCACTTCGGCCTTCCCCCTTTGATAGAAGGATCTGCCCTCTGGAAACATCCTCTCCCTTTCTCATTTATCTCTGACTTGCCCACTTGAGAATTAACAGGGATACATCCTTGTCATGAAGGAGGCCAAATCCCCTCATGCATAGTTTCTTCCTAGGCAGACTGCTTCTTCATGTCCTTACCTGTGATGAGAAAATTCTAGATAATGAGCAGAAGACTTGGGACTGGTGCTAGCTGGTGAAGTGGGGCCCGGAGTGGGTGTTGCTGGGTAACTTTCCCAGAGGGAAGTATGTGGGGTCCTCCTCCAGTCAGGCTATTTAGTCTCTTCCCCCAGGGATGGTGGGGACGTGCCATGTTGTGTGGTCACGGGGCAGCCTGCATGACTTCTTATAGCCTCAGAGGTCCCAATGCAGCACATGTCAGAACCAGAGTGGAAAATTTTGTGCCCTGATCTTAGAGCTAAGGGGAGATAGGAAGGCACCCCAAGCCCCAGCTCTCTCCTGGGCTCCCATGCCATGCCTCCATCAGGCCCTTGCTGTTAGGGTTGCCACAGTTAGACCAAAAGACTAGGACCTAAAACTTCTCCACAAACCCAAAACAAACTGGAAAAAAAAAAAAAAGGACACCCAGTTTAATTCTCAGATAAATATTGAATAGTTTTTGGTATGTCCTGCACAATATCAAAATTAAATTTTGGGGCTGAGTGGCTCACCCCCCTGGGTGGCTCATTGGTTAAGCGTCTGACTCTTGGTTTTGGCTCAGGTCATGATCTCGTGGTTGTGGGATCGAGCCCCACCTCGGGCTCTGTGCTCAGCATGGAGTTTGCTTCACATTCTCTCTTCCTCTCTCTGCCCCTCCCCATGCTCATGGACTCTCTCTCTCTCTCTAAAATGAATAAATAAAATTAAAAATAAATAGATAAAGGCACCTGGGTGGCATAGTCGGCTGAGTGACTAACTCTTGGTTTCAGCTCTGGTCATGATCTCAGGATCTTGAGATCAAGTTCTGCACTGGGCTCCCAAGCTCACCAAGGAGTCTGCTCAAGTTTCTCTCTTCCTCTCCTTCCACCCTTCCCCAGGCTTGCTTGCTTTTGCTCCCACTCTCTCTAAAATAAATAAATCTTAAAAAATAAAATTACACAAATTTTATTGTTTATCTATAATTCAGATTTACCTGGGTGCCCTGCCTGCTGGCAATCAGAGAGGAAGGTTTGTGGGCAGAGGTCTGGCTGTGTGACCTGAACCCTCTCCTTCCTCATTTTAAGCCTCAGTTTTCTCCTTCCCTACAGACTCAGGGATACAGAGACTAGTGAAAACAGATGAGAAGCCTCAGCCCTTCACTGGGCAGCTTGGAAGGGGGGCAGGAGAACAGGTGGTGCTGGTTGGGTTTGAGATTTTGAAAGGTGAGAGATTCAGGCCCTGGGAGGCCACTAACCCCTCCTTGGAAATGGCCCTGATCCCAGGACTGGAGGGACAGGGCACAGGGAGAAGATCTTCTGTCTTAGAAAATGATTTCAGGGGCATCTGGGTGGCTCATCAGTTAAGCGTCTGCCTTCAGCTCAGGTCATGATCCCGGGGTCCTGGGATCAAGTCTTACATCAGGCTTCCTGCTCAGTGGAAAGTCTGCTACTCCCTCTCCCTCTGCCCCTCCCTCTTGCTCGTTCTCTCTCTCTTAAATAAATAAATAAAATCCTTTAAAAAAACTATTTCATTATGAAGCCCCAAAACAGATAAAGCTAGTGACACCCAGGTACCCACTCTACCCCTTAGCTTAAAAATTAAAACTGAACCAAGCAGTAGAACCTTCTTTCTGCCCCACTCTGCAGTCTCTCTCTGCATTGGCTTTGCCCATCGTCTCTGTCTGCAACCCTGTCGCTATATCTCTTCATGTGTTTGTCTCTGTCCCTATGTGGACCTTGCTGGAGGGCCACAGAGCCGGCAAAGGCCAGTCCCCATGTTGAAGGCTGTCCTCCACCCCGCCAGGCCTGGGGCAGCAGCAGAGGCTCCCTAGGGCTAGCCTCCTAATGCTTTCCCTGCTCTGTGATCCCCACAGGTGTCTGAGATGCCGCTGCCGCAGAAGAAGCGCTGGGTGTCCATGGCCAAGGGGCTGGTCCTGGGAGCTCTCTTCACCAGCTTCCTGCTGCTACTGTACTCCTATGCTGTACCCCCTCTTCACGCTGGCCTGGCCTCCACGTGAGTGGCCCTCCTGGGGGGCCAAGGGGTGGGGATTGGGGTGAAGGGGCACCCTGTGCACTACCCTGCATCATGCTGTGCTGCAGAAATTGTGCTGAGGGCAGAGGTCACTGTGTAACCCTGGGCCTCAGTGTCTTCCTCTATGAAGTGGGCATAATAACAGAGCCTGCCTCATGGAGCATGAGGATCAAAGCTGCCTGTATACATGGCTGGGATTATCCTCATCTAAGGCTCCAATGGGGCTGGGAGGTGGGGGTGACTTGTCCAAGAGAACTCAGCTGGCACAGGGCCCAGATTCAGACTGGGATCTGCCTGCCTCCAAGCCTGGCTCCTAACCATGAGGCTCTCCCACCTTCTCATGGGGCTGCTCAGCCCAGGCCTGACCTGGTTTGTGCTCTTAGGTGATGGTATTAAATTGAACTAGAGGAAACTACTGATCATTGACTATATTTGGTCAAACAATGAGCTGCAGAATCTCATGTGGTCCCAGCTAATGCTAATGTACGATGTGGTGGCCATGAATGAGACAAGAACCAGGGAGTTTGTCTCACTTTGACCTCCTCCCAACACCACAGATTGGGTGTGTTATTGTCCCTATTTCATAGATGAGGAGAGTGAGGCCAAAGAGACCAAACCACCCACCTGAGCATCAGGGCCTCCTGTCCTGGCTCCCCTGCTACCACCATGGCCAATGACCCCCATCTTTGGACCAGGGTGCTGGTTGGGGTTTCCAAGTCCGGAGGGCCCCAGCAGCCCCCTGAGACTCTCCCCACATTCCCTCCACAGCAGGACCCCAGAGGGCACAGCGCCCTGCTCCCCGGGTGAGCCAGAGGCGCTGACCCCAGCCAACGGCTCTGCGGGAGGGTGCCAGCCCCGGCGCAACATCGTGTTCATGAAGACTCACAAGACGGCCAGCAGCACGCTGCTCAACATCCTGTTCCGCTTTGGCCAGAAGCACGGGCTCAAGTTCGCCTTCCCCAATGGCCGCAACGACTTCGACTACCCCGCCTTCTTCGCCCGCAGCCTGGTGCAGGACTACCGGCCCGGGGCCTGCTTCAACATCATCTGCAACCACATGCGCTTCCACTACGACGAGGTCCGGGGCCTGGTGCCGCCCAACGCCACCTTCATCACCGTGCTCCGCGACCCCGCCCGCCTCTTCGAGTCCTCCTTCCACTACTTCGGCTCGGTGGTGCCCTTCACGTGGAAGCTCTCGGGCCGCGACAAGCTGGCCGAGTTCCTGCAGGACCCAGACCGCTACTATGACCCCAACGGCTACAACGCCCACTACCTCCGCAACCTGCTCTTCTTCGACCTGGGCTACGACAGCGGCCTGGACCCCGGCAACCCGCAGGTGCAGGAGCACATCCTGGAGGTGGAGCGCCGCTTCCACCTGGTGCTCCTGCAGGAGTACTTCGACGAGTCCCTGGTGCTGCTCAAGGACCTGCTGTGCTGGGAGCTGGAGGACGTGCTCTACTTCAAGCTCAATGCCCGCCGCGCATCGGCCGTGCCGCGCCTCTCGGGGGACCTGTACCGGCGCGCCACGGCTTGGAATGTGCTGGACGCCCGCCTCTACCGTCACTTCAACGCCAGCTTCTGGCGCAAGGTGGAGGCCTTCGGGCGGGAGCGCATGGCCCGCGAGGTGGCCGCCCTGCGGCACGCCAACGAGCGCATGCGGCGCATCTGCATTGACGGGGGCCGGGCCGTGGACGCCGCCGCCATCCAGGACTCGGCCATGCAGCCCTGGCAGCCGCTGGGCGCCAAGTCCATCCTGGGCTACAACCTCAAGAAGAGCATCGGGCAGCGGCACGCGCAGCTCTGCCGTCGCATGCTCACGCCGGAGATCCAGTACCTGATGGACCTCGGCGTTAATCTGTGGGTCACTAAGCTCTGGAAGCTCATCCGGGACTTTCTGAGGTGGTGACATCCCGCCGGCCGCCAGTCCCCCTCTGCCCGCTGGATCGCAGAGGAGGGGCGGGGCAGGGGCCCTCCTGGTGCCACCCCGGCTCCGGGGTGAGGTGGGGCTGCTGCCGGGGCTCGGGCGGCCGGGACTGGGCCCCTGGCACACAGAGCCTGAGGTCCGTATTTGACTAATTATAGCTTTTTAAAGAGTTAAATTCCCTTCCCTCCAAAAAAGAATGTTCTATTTCCTGCCTCCCCTTAAAGGGGAGACTTCAGAAGTAAAGGAATTTCATGTTGTGTTTTTTGTTAATCAGCCTCAGTGGTGCTGACTGGTGGGGCCCTGGGTGGGAGGTGACTGATGAGGATGGTGGGAGGAGGGCCCGCAAGAGAGCATGGCGGGTGCCTGAGTGTGTCTGTGGACAGAGCGGGGGTGTCAGGCACGGTGTGATGAGCACCCCTTACATGCTGCAGCCCTGTGTGGCTGAAGGACTCCCATGAGCTACCAAGACCTGGAAGATCGTTTGTGTGATCATCCTGAGGCTCTACCGGTCACTTACTCCAACTGAACACTGGTTATGTGTCCAGCATTAGGCTAACTGGGTTATCTCAATTCATCTTCATCAAAATTCAGTAATGTGAGAACTGCCATATTTCCTCATGCCAGAGTTGAAGAAAGGAGCTCAGAGCGGGCAAGTCATTTGGCCAAGATCACATAGCAAGTGGTAGGACTGGAACGGGGGCCAGGGAGGATGGAGTGTACAGCCAGAACAAGAGAGTCTGTGTGTGTGTGTGTGTGTGTGTGTGTGTGTGTGTGTGTGTGTGACAGGGAGGTGGGAAATCCTTGGTGTAGCATTGAGCAGCAGGCCCTGGGCCCAGGCTGAGGGTTCCTTGTATAATCTCACTAATCCTCACAATCACCCTTTGAGGCAGGCACAGTTACCATCCCATTTTATCGCTGTGGGAATTGACATTCTGAGAGAGATCAGAAAGGACTTGCCTGAGGTCACGTTGCAGGTACCCATCAGACCCAAAACTAACCTTCTCTCTGGGACCCCAAACCCCTTGCAGCAGAGTGAGGATGCATCAGCTCTAACCATCTGTCTCCCTTGGCCTCTCCAGGGGGACAAGGGCACTTTCTGGGGCACAGGAGTCATGGGTCTCTAACTAGGAGTCAGCAGCCAGACATGAAAGGCAGAACCAAATGATTTTATTGGAGAACTGTCTGTACCAGGCTCCAAGCCAAGTACTTGTACACCTTATCTGAATATCCACAACATCCTAGCTTTATAGTCCAAAGCTCAGAGAGGTTAAGGGATTTACCCGAGGTCACACATCTAACTGGTGCCAGAACCGGATTTCAAGCTGAATTTGTCAGCTCTTAACCCTTCCCTGGGTTTGAATCAGTCTTTTTCCTGGGAGTGAGTTTCTGATCCAAGCAGGGTGGGAAGAAGTTAGGGTGACCAACTGTCTCAGTATCCTAGGACTGTCCCAGTTTTTGCACTGAAAGTTCCCACATCCCAGACTACTCCTCAGTTCTGGGCAACCAGAATAGTTGTTCAGTCTGGGAGAGTTTTGGACCCACCAGCTCCCTGGAGCCACTGCCTGCACCCTCCTAAAGATCTTGGCAGCAAGAAATAAGCACATCTTTGAAGCCTTTGGTTCATATGGAGAGAACTAAGAGAAAGAAAGAAAAAAAAAAGAAAGAGAATAGCTAAGATATTATTGATCCCAAATTCATGAGATAATCTCCCCCCCCCATGCACACTTTTGATAAATCAAAGAGAGATGTGACTTAGTGCAATATGATAATATCTTGGGTTTGTGGAACCCCATAATTTTATTTCTTTGGACTCTTAATGGCCTAAAATGTCAATAATAATATATGTCATCAAATTATTTATTATTAATATTGGAACTTCTAAACCCTTAGGGATCCAAGGAGAATAAATCTGGCAAAGAGTAGATGCCAAGAATATATATTGCTCCATTAGCATTTACTATCTGCCTGGTTCATTTTAAGAACATTAGGATTATTAACTCGTTTATTAACATAATTAATATTTTAACAATGAGAAGTTGCCTGGCACTCTGTGCTCAGCTCTGTGCCATATGGGAACATTTGCTCTCCTGAGAAGGCGACCAAAACACAGAGAAGCTGAGCAACAAGCCTGGGTCACCCAGCCAGGCAGCCATAGAGGCAGGTTGCAAACCCAGGTCAGCCGGACACCAAGGGCTGGTGCTTGCAGCCTCCAGACATTCAGAGCTATTCCAGATGGCCACCTCAGCCTTGGGACTTTCCATGGTTGAAAATGGATGAAGTCTCCAAGGGGCTCTCCTGCTTATAGCCTGCAGGAGTCAGTATGCTCTTGCCACACCTGGGCAGCAGAGGGTGCCATGGTGCAAAGTTTGGTCTTAACTGGTCAGGACATTCCCTGCTGCTGGAGGGCTGGGGGCACCCATAGTTGGGCCCGAGCCTACAGGTGAAAGCCAGAGCAAAGGTCATGGCTGTCCCCTGGGAGAAATTCAGTGGAACTACCTGTTTCTCTCTGTTATGGGATGAATTGTAACCTCTACATGATATGTTGAAGTCCTAACCCCCAGTTCCCTATGACTGATATTATTTGGAAATAGGGTCTTTGTACATGTAATCAAGTTTAGATGAAGTCATTAGGGTGGGTCCTAATCCAATACGGCCGGCAGGTGTCCTTATAAGAAGTGGCGATGTCCTGTGTAGATGCAGGCACACAGAGACAACGCCACGTGAAGATGGGCAAAGGTCGGCATGATGCAGTAACAAGCCAAGGAATGCCAAGGGCTGACAATGACCTCCAGAAGCCAAGAAGAGGCAGTGAAGGATTCTACCCAGAGTCTCAGAGGGAACATGCCCCCGCTGACACCTTGATTTCAGACCTCCAGCCTGCAGAACTGTGAAAGAATAAATTTCTGTTGTTTTAAGCCATCCAGTTTGTGGCACTTTGTTACAGCAGCCCCAGGACACGAACGTATCCTCTGTGCCCCGTCCTAGCTCTGGGTCAGGTCTCTGTCCCTTGCCTGGACTCCCTTCCCCAGGCTTGCCCCTGTGACCCATCTGCAGCCAGAGGTCATTCTCTGCTCTGAGTCCTCCATAGTCTCCCTCACACTTGGGGAGAAGCCATGCAGCTACACACATCTGCGGCTTTGCACATGCTGTTCTCTCTACCATAAGGCCCCCTTCCTGTTACATGCCTAACATTGCTAAGTGACTTCAAACAAGGTCTGCCACCTCCTCTGGACATTCTGCCCTGAGAGCCCCACTCACAAGCTAGCTTAGGGCCTCTGGGCCCCCATCTCAGTTCTGCTCATCAAGGGCCACAACTGTGGATATGCTTGACTGTGAGGCCCTGACGGTATGCCCATCTAGGACACGATCTTCATTTGTCCTGACACAATTGATCTCTAGTGCCCAGGTCAGTGCTGGGCACACAGTCAGTTTTTAATAAATGTTTTTTTTAAGATTTTTTAAAAGATTTATTCATTCATGAGAGACACACAGAGAGAGGCAGAGACACAGACAGAGGGAGAAGCAGGTTCCTTGCAGGGAGCCTGATGCAGGACTCGATCCCAGGACTCCGGGATCAAGCCCTGAGCTGAAAGCAGATGCTCAACCACTGAACCACCCAGGCATCCCAGTTTTAAATAAATGTTAAGACAGGAGAGAAAAGAAAGAAAGAAAGAAAGAAAGAAAGAAAGAAAGAAAGAAAGAAAGAAAGAAAGAAAGAAAGAAAGAAAAAGAGACAGAGAGAAAGAGAGAAAGAAAGAAAGAAAAAGAAGGAGGGAGGGAGGAGGGAAGACAGGAGAGGTGCCCTGGATGGTATAGTCAGTTAAGTGTCCAACTCTTGATCTTGGCTCAGGTCATGATCTCAGGGTCGTGGGATGGAGCTCTGCATCAGGGTCCATGCTCTGTGAGGAATCTGCTTGGAATTCTCTGTCTCTCTCCCTCTGCCTCTCCCCATCTGCTCTCTCAAAAAAAAAAAAAAAGAGAGAGAGAGAGAGAAGAAGAAGAAGGAAGAGAGGAAACAGAAAAGGGAGTGTGAAAATAGGGCGGTAGGGATGGAGAAAGGCACTTCCACGTAGAGGGCCTTTCAGAGCATATTTGCCTTAAGTGACCCAGCCCCCACCTTCCCAGGAAGGTAGCACATTGGCCAATGAACACAAGTGCAAGAATGAGTTCACAAGGTGAAAAGTCACACATCCCTGGGATGGGATGCGGGATACATAAGCTCTGACAGGGGTGGGTAGAGGCAGGGAACCTGGGCAATGCTTGCTCTGGGGAGTAGGCAGGCCCTGGGCAAGCTGGGGACAAGCCCGGGGTGCTAGAGAGCAGTAGAGAAACTAAGAAAGGACAGGTAGCCTTTGCCAACCTCCCTTGCCATCACATCTTTGGTAAGCTTTTATTTTTTAAGATTTTATTTATTCATACATAAGAGACATACAGAGAGAGGCAGAGACATAGCCAGAGGGAGAAACAGGCTCCCTGCAGGGAGCCCAATGCCGGACTCGATCTCAGGATCCCGGGATCACGCCCTGAGCCAAATGTAGACACTCAACCACTGAGCCACCCAGGCGCACCTGGTAATCTCTTATCGAGCATCTTCTGTGTACAAAGCACCATGCTGGGTGCTCATCTGGGAATATAGAGAAATGAACCAGACTGTCAAGGAGCCTGAGGCAGGGACCTGGGAGAAGCTCACAACAGCTGGCAGATAGAAGACGTTAATGAGGTCTAGATAGGACTTCAGGGAGGGGGAACTCACCTGCCAGCAAATAAATCAGAAAAAGGAGAAGACCAGGCATTTGAAATAGGCCTTGAGTGAGGCAGATATTAGATGCAGGGTGATGATGCAAGGAAAGCCATTGTAGGGAGGGGAAACAGCCCATGAAAAAGCTGGCGGAGAGGCAAGGGGGAGTCAAGCAGGTAAAATCAGCTCCAGAAGAACCCCAAATGCTCTGGCACTTCAGGCTAAGGGTTTTCAATTTCTCTCGATGGCGGCAAGAAGCCAAGGGGAGCTTTAGAGCAGGGGCAAGGTGTCCTAGGAGGCAGGCTACAGGAAGATAGGCCAGAGACGCTGGGGGTGGGAAACCAAGGGGAGGAGCTAGGAGGGCTGGGGGACCAGGGAAGGAGCAGGCATCCTTCCCAGGGTGCCTGCGTTTGCCCCAGTGACTAAATCTCTAGTCTGTGGGTCTGTGGGGGTGGTGGGGAGGTCTGGTCCTGCAGGAGAGGCAGATCCACTCCAGTTACCCCCCAGGCAGGACCAAGGGAGGACCATTCCGGGGCTCAGCCAGGCCGCCCAGGTGTGTGCTCTGCCTGGGGCTGGGCATGTGTGATTCAGTGACCTGAGCAAGCATCAGGCTCAGACAGTCCCGATTGTCCCTCAATTGCTGCACGGCCTCGGGCCTTCCACTGCCCTCTTCTAGGCTCTGTCAGGTGGGGAGGAAGAGTCTGGGCTCCCAGAACACGTGAAGCCTTTGGCCTCCAACCAGGAACGAAGCCCAATATGCGGTTCTTGATTACAGCCCAAGCTGCTGGTGCCCTGCCCGTATCCCCTCAACCTCACCACTCCCGAGGCCCTTCTCCAGCCTCCAGAGCCATGCGCCCAGCGGGCCAGAAGTGCCTGCAGGACTGATGGCCCCCGGCGTGGCCCTGGACTGCAGACTGTGTGAAGCTGGTGTGTGAATCCTCTCCCTGGACAGCTAGCTGCCTCCCATCTTCCATCTCACTTCCCCACTCTCTCCTACTTGGGTTTTCTGGGATCACCTCTGGAATAAACTCCCTGCACTAGAGCCCTGGTCTCTGAGTCTGGCTCTGGATGAACCAGACTAAGACAAATACTTACTGTGTGCAAGGCCCCATACACACAGCATGATCTTGTTATCAGACCAAAAGGGGCCTGCTCCTTGGTGAGCTACAGGCAGAGACTAGGCTAGGTGACATTGCCTCTCAAAATTATTATTATTATTTTTTGGGCAGCCCCAGTGGCTCAGCAGTTTAGCGCCACCTTTGGCCCGGGGCCTGATCCTGGAAACCCGGGATCGAGTCCTACATCGGGCTCCCTGCATGGAGCCTGCTTCTCCCTCTGCCTGTGTCTCTGCCTCTCTCTCTCTCTCTGTCTCTCATGAATAAGTAAATAAAATCTTTAAAAACTAATAAAAATAAAATAATTATTTTTAAAAGATTTTTATTATTTATTCATGAGAGACACAGAGAGACAAGCAGAGACATAGACAGAGAGGGAAGCAGGCTCCACACAGGGAGCCCGACTTGGGACTCGATCCCAGGTCTCCAGGATCACATCCTGGGCTGAAGGCGGCACTAAACCACTAAGCCACCTGGGTTGCCCAATCAAAATTATTTTTATTTGCAGCAAATAGGAAGATCTCGGGGAATAATTTCCAAAGCTGTGCCTCCCTGAATAGGGGCAAACAGGCTCCTTTTATTAGGGCTTGGGATGAATAATCAGAGGGGGATTTTTTTAAATCTTTTTTTTTTAATTTTTATTTGTTTATGATAGTTACAGAGAGAGAGAGAGAGGCAGAGACACAGGCAGAGGGAGAAGCAGGCTCCATGCACCAGGAGCCCGATGTGGGATTCGATCCCGGGTCTCCAGGATCGCGCCCTGGGCCAAAGGCAGGCGCCAAACCGCTGCGCCACCCAGGGATCCCTCAGAGGGGGATTTTAATATTTATAATGAAGCTAACTGTTGGGAACTTTATAATTCACCTGCACAGGCAACCATCCTCGAGTGTTTCTTTTCCTGTCCCAGCACTTTGTTAGTTTCCAAAATATGAAATTGAGAGTTAGGCAGAAGCTTCTAGGAGTTTCCTGAATTCAGGGAGTCGGGGGGGGGGGGGGCTCGCCAGGATCTTATGTATCCTTGACTTTGGCTCTTTTTGCTTGTCCAGGGGGTATGGAGGCAGACTGTGGCCAGGAGTCCCCCCATCTCCCCTCACCTGAAGGCAGATTATACACCCACCTGCTGCATCTGGGCCTGAGAAGTCTCTCCTCACCCCAAAGCCAAATGCTCTAACAGCTGTATAAATCATGGGCAGTTGCTCCTGACACACTGGGTGGTTCAGATCTGGGTTGTGTAAATAAGGCCATGAGTTCAAGCCTCAATTTCCTCACCTGGCTAACGGGTATAATAACAGTATCATATTGGGATTAACTTAATGCTTAGCCCAGAGCCAAACATTCTCTTATGTCCTTGAAGACAAATATTAACAGCTCATTTGGAGGTGGGGGCCCCAGAGAAAGCTCTTTGAGCCCTCTTTTGGAGGCTGAGCAAACTGAGACCCAGAGAGAGAGAGGAAGTGACCCAAACAAGGCTACACTGGGGCTGCTGACTCCTTGTCCAGTGCTCTTTCCTCTGCTACATTCATCACTATTGAAGTTTGGCTTTGACCCACAGTCAGCAACTCTTGAGGCTGCCTGTGGAAGATCCCCTCTCAGGCTAGGTCAAGCTACCATACACTTGGGCCTGGACAATGGGCTCTGAGCCAGATGTGTCATTTGCCTCCCAACTCTGACACTTGCTGGCTGTGTGATGCCAGACAAATTGCTCAACCTCTCTGAGCCTCAGATTCCATGCAGCTTACCCTCCCATGAGACTTGGCTCTGAGGATGGAGATCAAGCATCTGAAAAGGGCTCCTCCCTGCCGCTACAGGCCTGAGGGAAGAGTCTGTCATATAACTCCCAAACTACATTTAATCCATGTTTAATCCTTTCCAAAGCTTTGGGCAACTGGCTTGGTATTCTCTCATTTCCCAGAAGGAGAAAGCTAACTGCCTGACTTGCTTCAAGCCCTGGCTCCTCTAGCCACTAGCAGGTCCTCTCCGAAGGGCAGGTGAGATCTGCAGGCCTGAGGGTGGTTGGCCAATTCCCTGATGGAGGCCCTCTGACCTGGATCTT